ATATTCCATAGATGTTTACGTATTGTTTCATGAGAGACATGCAATTTCAGGGCCATGTCACGAGTGTGTCGCCTTGGGTTGGATTCAACAAGAGTCTTCAGAGCATCAATATCAATTACAACATGTCAGCCCCTGCCATCACAGTTTTTAAGGCTAAAGTCACCTGAATGAAATTTGCTGAACCATTGTTGACACTTATGAACTTTCACGACATTTCCATAAACTTCTTTGATATTCTTTGTGGTTACAGAGGCGTTGTTTCCCTTCTTGTATTCAAACAGCATTACATGCCGATTATGTGTCTTGTTGTGTGCCATCACTATAAAGGGATTAGAGTATACTAAACTTTACACGTTATATAGGCTACACTAACATGACATATGTTTCTTGGGGGGTGGTTAATGAAAGTGTTCCAAAATGTGACATTAATTTGTTGAGGACGTAATAGAACAGTATTCAAACATTTAGGCCAAGACTGTATATTCAAACTATCACATGTTGAAGAGACAGTATGATCTAGGCTGTAAAATAAGATGTATACATTCTTTGGTGTACAATGTAGGCCTGTACAGTGTATCTCGTCGTGTGCCATCACTATAAGGGATTAGAGTAGACTAAACTTTACACATTATATAGGCTACACTAACATAACATTTAGGTGGTTCGTTTAACTATCATACGTGATGTACATTTTTTGGGGTGGTTAATGAAAGTGTTCCAAAATGAGACAACCTGATATGTAGTAATTAAATTTTTGCATCTTCTGTTGTACACCAAGCATGTGCTCTGTCTAACTGTAGCTGATAAATAATTTTCTTAGCAACTCAAACAATTGCATTGTTCCCCCCTTCAAAAAAGCCCACTTTTGGTCCTTATCACAAGGTCATACTATTGATTGAAAACTTTCATCAGGTTGTCATATGTTTTATTTGATTTTGCTTATCACAAATATGTACATTTGTAGTGAAATAGTGGATAAAATTGGAAAATCGAGGTTTCCTGTTATCTTTATTAGAGAAGGCCTAATACCAGGATTAGTTTTAATTTTTTTCTTTTATTTTTGAATTTTTCTGTGAAATGTATTTGACATATTCCATTTTAGACTACTTTAATATTTGTTTGTCTTGTATGTTTTTTGTTTTTTTTTTTCAGTTAACAAGTCTACCCAGGGTACTTCAAGCTCTATTCATTTACACTTATTTCAAAGTATTGGATAATTCTTATGATTTTTAGACTTATAAAATATTATTCCAAAATATATTTGGAAGTAAAAGCAATAACAAAGGATATTAATAATGTTCTAATGTGAACAACTACTTTCAATTGCACATGAATAATATAAAAAACTAGCACAAAGAAAAAAATGCATGCCTGAATGAAGTTCCTTTAATAAAGAATTTCCTGATTATTTGCAGATATGTGATGTATTGCATGATCGCATGACAGAATGTAGATATTTAGAGCCAGTCAGTAGTTTTGACATGAAAGTGACTCCACATCCATGGACTGAAGTCAATGTTCTTGAGAAAGGACAAAAGGCTCTGGAAGAAACTAATCAAGAGTTAGGTACATTTGATTTTAGTAATTGTGTTATTTCATAGTAGATGTGTGTACTTGCTATTAGTATGTTAAAATTTCTCTTGCCAGTGGTCCCCTGGTGGGACATTGATAAGTCTATGGACTTACAATGCTAAAATCTGGAGTTTGATTTCCTGCGATGGACACAGCAGGTATCCCAATGTGGCTTTCCTCTAAAACAAACAAATAAGCTCTTAACATTGATTAATACAACTCTAAAGAAAGTATATGGTAGCCTTATTAAAGTAAAATCATTTCATGAAAAATAAAATTTAGATTTTGTTATTTAAAATAAAACCCTTTTTTGTCAATAAATACTGTATAAAATGCAGAATAGTATTGAGATGTTTTGGTTACATTAAGAAAAAAATGATGTCACTGGTTTGTTTGTTTGTTTGTAATTAAGCACAAAGCTGCACGATGGGCTATCTGTACTCTGCTAACCACGGGTATCGAAAACCCGGTTTCTAGCGTTGCAAGTTCGCATACAGACAGCTGTGCCACTGGGGGCATCACTGGTTTTAAATACTTAAGTATAAATTTATAGTGATAATTAATATTGTTTATGAAAGTAAGATATGGATGTCCCATTCAAGTGTTTTGGGGAATTAATTGGTATAAATTGTACAGAATTTTATATACTTTTATATAACAAGAACATATTGCAATAGAAAAGTTTAGCAAACTTCTAGAAAACTACAGGGCTAGATAATCTGAATTAAAAATACTTCTCACTAGTAAATAACAGTAGAAATGTCCAGTAACAGAATATCAAAGGTATGATGATTAACAAATATTGCAGCCACTGGTGATATCTAAAATTAGCCAGATTATCAATTCAGTCCTAGAAAAGTTTATGTACAGAATTTCACATATTGAATACGCAGAATTTTGCATAAGAAATGTGGAATGAAACATTTGAAGTGACATAAAAATGTAAGATATCACAATTTAAAGGTATCTCTAGTAGTTCACATTTAAACTTGTTACATTATCCTGCTGTGTAATTTAGATTTTTGGCCACTACTATCTTGTATATCTTTTTTTGTTTATATTTGTTTTATCATGTTTAACTTTAACACATTAAGGAACCCTGTTATGGTTAATTGGCCCACATTCAACTCTAATTGCTGTTTTCTGTCACATGACTAGTTCATAGCTATCCGACTTGAATTGTCTTATTTTTGGAGCTCAAGTTTTATCAGTGATGTCTTTCTTGATATCTATGACTTATACTTCTTAACTATGTAACAGATTATGCTATTTTTAAATACTTGTGCATGGTCTATACTAAGTTTGCAAATAGACTTGTTTTCCTTTGGTGCATGTACTTCAAAAGAAATGAAGAATTAAATGTTTCTTCAAAAAAACTTTAATTGCTTTTTTTTCCCTGTTTGCAATGACTTGGAGTAGAGTGGGATCCATATACCCATGCAGGTACTTAAGGGTTTTACACTTAATTTATTGGATACACCAATCACATGACCTGAAGATGACTGTCAGTAAATGTTACTATACATAAACTGCTACATTACACATGAAAAGAAAATGATGTTACTATATTGCCACGTATAAAGCAAATGAAAGTTAAATTCTTGAAATATGAGACATTCCTTGTAATCTCAAATAAACATGTAGGACTACTTTTTTTTTTTTTTAAGTGTACAAGCATAATGCAACAAATACAATACTATAGCTAAGATACATAATTTTTTGTACTTTGGTTCACTGTTCAATAAAGTAGCAATAAACTTAATGCAATCTGTGCTGTCAGTTGATTTCAGAATTTTCTGTTTTAGGTCCTTATGAAAATGGGTGTATATAATGTACTGATTGGGTATTGTAACCTTGCATAAACATTATTCAGTTTTAGAAATACTTTCTTAAGAAAAAAAGAAAATGGTATTTTCCAAAACATACATCCCTCATCTCACACTACAGCTTTTACTCGACTGCTAGGGTTTCCTTACTTTGTCCATCTAAGCATTGGTCTGATTTTTTCTCACTTGCTTCAGTCTTTTATTTCCCACTCAATTGCCCTTGGAGATATCCATCTTGTGACACTCTCTACCAATATCAATGTGCCCTCTATCCTAGTACTGTATATAAGCACCTCATTCAGACAATATTATCACTTTTTCTCAACAAAGCATTCACAAATGGGTTTCTCTGTACTACAACCAATGGAAGTACTTTGAGTGTTCTTCATGTTACCTAGTTGTTGTTAAAAAAGAGAATTTAATTTGGCAAGCCAATATGTGACATGAATTCCCTGGATTACTGTTTCCAGCACAGAGGCAAATTAGGTCTTTCCTACTTTCCTATCCCAACTCTTGAACCCATTTTGTCCAGACGTGCCAAACATAACTCATTTTTTTACCTGGCTCTTGGATAAGGGTTTCGCATCTTCCACAATCGACTTATCAACTACCTTTAGATACTTGAGACAAAAATTATTTGAGCCCTCATTGCTCTCCAGTCTCCTCAAGTCATTAAGAGTCCTTCATCCCAAACGACCATTTCTGTTACCTAACTTGGATATTAAGGTGGTATTACATGCATCTTTCTCAACATCCAGTTGAGCCCTTAGTCTCATGTATCAGGTATCACCTTTCCTTTAAGATATATTTTTTTGTTGCAGCTGGCCTGTGGACATTGCCATTCGAAGTTAAATTCTTGAGGTGTTGGGATGCCCATAGTAATGTCTTTAGAGGTGCTAGACAAAGATTTTTTTATTCATTGGGATCCATCAGTTTCCAGGATTTAGCCCGGTTACCTTGTCAAGGTGGGTATGAAAATTGATTCATATCACTTATTCTGGGCTTTCTTTGAAGGTGAGGAGACTTTTGCAAATCACATCTCATCAGATTCATCTCATTTATGTGTCCTTAGCAGCCCAGTTGAATTGCCAGCTAGATGACATTGTGTGGGCTGGCATGTTGACCTCCTCCAATACTTTTATCTCACATTATTTGCATGATCTGGCAGTATCTTCTTTTGAGGGTTTTTGACTACCCCTGTAGCTGTTTTAACCACATAAGGAGGTGTGAGTATCTTGATTACTAATATTGTCTCTTCTTTACATTCCAGGGTCCTTTACCTCTTTTTCTCAGGGTCTCACTCCGTCGCAAATGTTGCCCAGGCAAGTGTGCTTTTATCAAACCAATTCTGCACTATCAACTATTAACACAATATACATTATATAGATTGCAACAGGCTCTGTAGAAATGAGGTGTTCTCTAAGACCACCTAGAACAGACTGGGTGATATTACCGTACTATACTAGGCTGCCAATAATAGACTATCATGAGTAAAGCATAAGGGGATTATCCCATTCCTGCTAATCATTGGGTTGAATAAATCGGGGTCAGTTTGCTTTTAAAAATTTAGGGAATTTGGTTCACCTATTGCAATCTTTCCAGAGCATAGTTCCTCAGGACTCCCCAATGCACATTCCTCCCATATTCTCCTAGTGTAGCTAGGGAGTTCTTACCACACCCAGTTTCCAGTCACTGGGGTGGTGGACAGATGTTATTCCTACAGGACATTTGAGTGAGTTTCCTCCACTCTATAAAAAGAGGACAAAGTAGGGGCCCTGGATGTTTTTTCCCCAGATGTTAGTGGGAGAGGCACCAACCTATGTGGGAGCCTACTCGTAATACCAATTCAGATTTGACACTAGGCTATCCGGTTGGGTTGAGCATGGCCCTTCTTTTTGATCAATATTGGTTCAGTACATTGTTTATGGAAGAAGGTCCATTGTCTCCTCATAATTCTGAATTCAGAGTGGGCCCATCCTGGGTCCTTGTTTGAGCACAATTTGTTCCACATCCTCCCCATAATTTCATGGATGAGTGAAATTTATCTTCCCCACATGGTTGGGGAGTGAGGATGATGTTCATAATTCCAGACCAGATGAGTTCTGTTTCCTCAGGTTCTTTATGGCATACAGGATCCCGTTATTCTGAGTTTGGGGTGTTGCTTTTCGGACTTCTTCAGGTTGAGGAGAAGGTTTGTCCATTTTTGTGTGGCTTACCTTCTTGTCATGATTTTGGTGACTCAGAATGCATCACTCTATAGCTACAGGTTGGGATCCACGCACAAGTATGTACATTGCGGTAGCCCTACCCACTAACATGGGATTTAGGGGCGATGGCCCTATAATTCCAACCTTATGCAGTGGAACCTCAGCTGTCTGGTTTGGACCTGGCTAGTAGTGGTAACAGATCATGTCAAATTCCACCTGCAATGCATGAATTAGGTTCTGGGTGAAGAGCATACCTGTTCTGGATGTAGTGCGGTTCTCCCACTATCTATGCAGACACATTCTATATGGATCATGCTCTCACCAACCCTTCCACCTTATCAATGTGGAATTCTAGCTGTAGTGTGAGTGGAGGTAACTATGTTTGGGAAGTGAACATTTTCTTAAATTGAAAATGTATTTCCAATAATACTTACCACCTCTCACACTCTTCCGCCCTTCCTCCCCACTAAGAGCCAGTGTGAGAGACTGCAGATTGGGTAAGTCTCAAAAAAGTGGTAATATTATTTGAATGAGGTGCTTATATTTACAGTACCAGGATAGAGGGTGCATTGATGTAGGAGGAGAGTGTCACAAGACAGATATCGGGAAGGGCAATTAAGTCGGCAATAAAAGACTGGAGCAAGTAAGAAAAAATCAGATCAATGCTTAAATGGGCAAAGGAAGAAGACTCTACCAGTCATGTAATAGCTGTAGTGTGAGCGGAGGCAAGTAGTATTAGAAATACATTTTTGATTTAAGAAAATGTTAACTTTCATTTCAATATGGACATTGTTCATTGATTTAACATCAAATTTCATGTTTTTCCTTTTTTTTCTCAGGTCTTGGTTTTGATGACTGGGATTTAAATCATTACACAAGTCTTTTTCGTGACCATATGAAAAGGAACCCAACTACAGTAGAATGTTTTGATCTTGCTCAGTCTAACAGGTGACTTGATATAACTTTATATAGTAAAGGCCAGTTAAATTAAGATTATTAATATTTCATTATCACAGTGGAGTTTACAGAGAAGTTTCACTTTTTATTAATAAAATACTAGTGCATTATTTGAATTTCAAAACGTTTTTTTCTTTATTTTTCTTCATTCTTCCCGTCATAATCCAGTATAAGTCATATAAAACTGTATAATGTAATTTTATACTAATTACTAACAACAAGGTTATGTGATTGTGAAAATATATAGCTTTACATAGAACTAGATTTTCAGGTAAGGATTACAGTTAAACTTTCCATATTGGAGCTTACAGAAATATTCAACAATACCCTAATATAACTTGTACATCCCTTAGAAGAAACTTTAATGGAACAGTTTAACACACATAACATCATATTGAGTAATTGTATGTTTTTTCCTCTTACAACATTCTGTATAAAGAACTAATCAAAAATGTTTGAGGAAATTGCTAATTTTTTTACCAAAAATACATAGTGGACTCTCAGTAATTAGGGGGATTAATTGCAGTATTGATGATATTTAAAATGAAAAATTATATAACTTGTGTATTATTAGGGACATTGTAATCAATAAATTCAGAAACCCACAAGCACTTTTATGCATAAATAATTTAGAAAAATATGTTTAAATGTAAAATTCATTATGTGTTCCAAAATAAATATTTTCAAATATGACATCTTGCTGGTAGATGAACTCTTTGGGTGAATATTGCACTGTCATGCTATATGTATATCTATTCCATGATGTTAGAACTTGATATCATTAAAGTCTCATTGCAGAATAATAAAGTGTACTATTATATCTCCTCTTCAAATAATTATTGTCTACATATATTGGCAAAGATTGAAGTAGCGGTAGGTCTGAACAGTAACGTGTATTATTCAAAAATAAAAATGTGATTAGCAGTTTAAACATTTTATTAGATGTTTCCAGTAAATTAATGTTATAATGTGTCACCCAATGAAGTTTTTTAATTTTTTCTGTTTTTAGTTTGTGTTATTTAAGAGCCTATTTATCCTAGTTTTTGTTAACATGGGGCTTAAAATGTTTACTTTGTTACATTGGTGATGTGTTCTTTTTCTTTCCTGTTTGTAAGTGCTGAGCTTGGCTTTGGCTCCTTTTCGTATGTTCATGATCCTCAAAACTTCATTTTCTCCTCATAATTTACAATTCAGAATTCTTCCCCATAGTGCCCACTTTGTCGATGATTATTTATTGCTCTAAGTCAAGTTTTCCAATTCAGGGCCTTACCTTTCGGACTAACCTAGGCTTTTTAAGTGTTTTGTCAGGGAGTACAAACTCTTGCCTGACATCTTCACACTGTGAGTCTTTGCACTCTTTCTTATACAGATGACTGGCTTCCTCCCATTCAAAATCCAGAAACCACACTTCTCTGCTCCTACAGGATGCAGAATGGGTGGAATTCCTGATGACAGTATGGAAATCTATTTTTACCCCCTCTAAATTACCCCATTCATTTAGAGGGATTTCTTCTTTCCAACCATAGTTGGACCCTCTTCATCTTTGGGTTTGGAGCAAGTAATTCCTTGGAAGCTCTCATTTCTATTGGTCAGGCTCATAAGAGTTCCCTTCGATGGACACTCTTTGATCAATGGAACTTCTCCTCGGATCCCTGACTTGGTGGTTAACCAGAATCCAGACCACAGTGGGGGTGCTGCTTACTCCACCTCATCTGTATTTAGATCTCTTCACAAACTCATCCTTAGAGGGTTGAGGTTTTTACCTCAACTCCTGGGAGATTTCTTGTCACTGGTCAATCAAGGAGTCCTCTCTCCATATCACCTTTTTTGAGTCTTTTGTATTCGTCAATCTTTGTCCCACTTCCTCTCCTATGGGTGGTGGTGGTTATGGTGCATTCTGACATCTCCACAGTGATAACTTGTATCACTGAGCCAGGGGTTACCAATTTCAGGTCTCTGAGCTTTCAGGTCCAGGATTTCCTACCCATACTTTAAAAATTAAGTAAAATGCTATGGAATTGGTCATAAGATACTTAACTTACAAATATACATAAACATATTTTAGTTATAATATATGGTACTAATGTTGTCAGGCAAACGAATGGTACTAACATAGGGTTAAGTGCAAACAAACAAACAAACTGTTCTGTGTTTCTCCAGTGTATGTATTTCTGCATGAACATGGTATTTGGAAGATTATACTTTTTTTGTTTTAATTTGTTGATGGGTTACTTCACTTTTTTTGGGCGATTCAGAAAGTTTTTCCAAATATAACTCTATACTGAACTGGTTGCTAATATCTTGAGTTTTTTTTCTCCTAATTTAGAGATGTATGTTAAATGATTTTGGTTTTGTATTGGTTCTGCTGTGCTGAGAGCTCATGATTTTCTTGATAGCTGAAATGAAGCTGGTAGAGTAACCGCTTTTTTTAAAAACTTTTCCCATGAAGCAAAGTTCTTCTTCAATTAAGTCTCCAAAGCAGATTTTTCTGTCTCTGTTAAACATAATCATAACAATTATTTGTTTAATGGCCTGTGAATGGTTTGATTTGTAGTGCAGATAACTATTTGAGTGTGTGTGTGTTTTTTTATATATACTGTATTGGTGAAGTGACCATCTTGTCTGTGAATGAGGATGTCCAGAAAACAGAGTTCTATTGTCTTTTATTTGCATGATGAGTTTTATGTTTGGGTTGATGGAATTTGGGTATTGATGAAAGTCTTCAAGAATTGTTGTTTGTCTTTGTGAGCAAATTACAAAGGTGTTGTCCAAGAGTTCCATATCTTGGATAGTAGGATACTTGTCTGTAAGACTTTGGTTTTAAATTCTCAATGTAAATGTCACTGAGGACAGGTGAGATTGGCAATTCCATCAGTAGACCAACTTATTTGTTCAAAGACAACACTATTATGTCCACACTGCTTAAAATACTATATAAAAACATAAGTGTACAGCTACTTGGTATCTGCTATAATTGGAGATTTGAGGGCCTGGTATGTGGAGGGATAGGTGTAATGATTTTCATTGGTGAAGTGAAAGAGGCAAGACATACAGTGTTGAATCCAAAATAAAAAAAAAAGACAATTTGCTGAAGATTAGAAATTGAATAGCACAGATGATTCTTGAAATGATTGGACTTTTGCAAGTGAGAAGTTACAGTTTATTTAATTAAAGGTGAATACATATTTAAGCAGAAGTTATAAGATTAAAATATGGATGAGACTGACTCCAGCAACTGTTAGTTGTTTTCAAACGTGCAATCTCTGTCCTCTAGTATCTAAAAGGATCTATCTGAGAACCATAAAAACTACATGGATAATGCTCCTTCTCTCTGTAACTGAATATTCAGAAAACTGAATTGTGAGAATTGGAAAATACCTTTGCTCCAATTAATGATCATAAAATAGTTCTGTATATGCACTGTAAAGTAGGATACAGTACAACTGTTTCAGGTAATAGTGGATAAATTATTTGACCAGACCTCTATGGAAAGTAACACCTTGGACTGAATTTAGTGCATATCTGAACCAGATTTAGCACGTAAGAGCTTGGAAAAAAGAATAAAAACTTGCACATATTTATTGAAGTGTACTTAAGGAATGTAGTACTTGCACGCTACAACATATACAACTTTTACTCTGAGAAAACAGAATATATGTGACAGAAAGAATGTGTGCAAAACTCCTGAAAAATCCAGTTAAAGACAAAATAGCTAAAAGAATTGAAAACTATATGAAACGTAATAAAAAAAAAAAAAAAATTGGGAATGAAAGATATATGGTTACATGAATTTTGACTGATCAGAAGTTCACTTATGTAGTTTTGAATGTTGTGATGGTCCGTCCACAACCATTAACTATTACCTTGCTGAAGTGGCATTGTTATAGGCTTGTGTGTACTCGTATGTATATTTCCTGTAAACAGTGCATCCTTTGCACCTGTAGATGTTCTGGTCCACCAGGCTTCATTGGGTCTCAAGTTTGACTAACACTCTACTGCACTATGTCAACATTATCATGACAACAGCTAACATACCTACCCTAGGACCTTACCACATTCTTTTCAGTACTGTTTGGTTGTTATACATACAGAACCTGGGTTCATTAAGAAAGAATTTAGAGAGGGGGTGGGGTGACAGCAGACACTGGTTTGTATACAAATAACCAAAATCAGGCTAGCCACTGTACAGGTGCTAACCTCTGTCTCTTGACCGTGGATTTTCATTAATACTGGCATCTCATTTTAGGGACAGCTAGTGCAGATAGACCTCTAATAGGTGTACACAAAATAAACAAGTTTAATACATACTATTGGTGACTACAAAGTAACACCACATGGATATTATTTCTTGCCTCTGGCTGTCCACTCACATGTGTGCATACCAAAATACTTCAGTTTGTACAATTTGAAAATATTCATTCATAACCAAATAAAACACTGGATGCACCTATCCTACATTTGGCAGGATACTTAAGTTGCTGTTTGTAGGTTTTACTTTCTATGAATAAGTACATCCACTCATAAATATTTCTCATCAGTCCATTCAAAATATTATTCATTACTGCTAGTGAAAACATCAGGACAAACTATGTTTTCTTCCAAGTGTAGTGTGAGCTTAGATATTACTTTTATCCCTTCTGTGAAAATCCATTACCTGCTGAATATTTCAACATCTAAACTAAAAATTATATTACCATGATTAACGAATATATCAGTTGCACAGTATCTTCAGATACTACTTTACTGGCCAGTTATCACAGTTTACTTCATATCTCAGTCTTAACATCTAGACCAAATCATTTGTTTTCACTCCTATGTTGTGTGATAGTTCTGTTCTTAGTGAAATTGATTCATTTATATTGTACAACACTTAAAAATTACTTTGTGTAGCATCCACACATGTGCAACACCAAACACGTATATATGTTCATAAATGTATATTTCCAGATATATATATTTTTCAACATTGCACATCATCACACATACTAATAACTTTAAATGGGCTTCCTCTGGCTCACGTGCTGTACCATGGTAAACTAACTTGACTACACCTGGTTGCTATGTCTTAACAGGTACAGTGCCATCTATGAATTGCTTACTAAACATCATGAATCACAAACAGAATTCAGCCAAACTAAAATTTTTCTGCCATAAATAATATTTGTGTTGTCACTGCAGTATATCAAAAATGCTCGGACCAAACTAAACTAAATACAGTATTTCACAGTAAACTACATTTATTGTTCTAGGTGGCTGCCAACAGCAGTAGCTGAACTATAAGATATTGTACTGCCCTATGAGTCGATTTACTTGCTTCATTTGGCATTGCAAAAAAGTAAATAAAAGCAAATTCAGTTAAAGTATATTCTGTTTAGATTCACAGTAACTTGATAGACAATCTGTACTGAGAGAGAGAGAGAACACAACTCACTCACTGCACTCACTTAAGGGTACTGTAGGAGTCTAGCAAGACTCATGTGGTTTGCTCTGTAAAACTTCCAGTAATATTTGGCTAGACTGGTAGAATGATTCTCACAAAATATTGAACCAACAATTTTCTTGAGAAATTGCTCAATATTTGGTCATTGATCTTTTAGAAGTCCTCCTAATTCATGCAAACTGTTGATGTTCTAGGCATTACTTCATTAATAAATCATTAATTACATTAGAATTCAGATCTAACAGTAACTTTGCATAAAACAAACATTAAGAATGGAACAAACTTAAACATAACTTTACTAATGGTTTATGTAGATAGTATTTGATACAGGGAGAATCAGTATAACTATAGCTGTACACACATATCTTCATTGAGGTTAAGTCAGGTAAAGAATTCTCACTCTTGAAATGTTACCCTATGTGCATTATTTTCATAAGGGGGGACAAAGTTAATACTTATGTTAGCAATAGGAATGGTATTCCTTTCCATTTCCTTTCAGTTTGAGTATTGGTTGAGAGATCCAGACATGAACAGCAAAAGCACAGTGAAGTTTGTTCTTAAAGCAATAAACAAATATTGCAAGTTGTGTTTCAAAAGACATTAATTACTACATGAAAATATTTGGCTGAAGTAAATCATTTGAGTGAGAAAAGTGAGGTGCTCATAAACAATGTAATGGATGAAGGCTTACTCTGAACCAGGCCTTAACAAAAAAGAAAAACTGTGTTTTGAAACTATGTAAAATAAGGCATTTGAAGACTCAAATGAGGAAGAATAATTCATGTTCTAAAAGTTTTTCTTAATAAAATGTATTTGTGACACACAACTTGGTCCTGAAGAGCAGTAAAACTAGTATCTACTGACCTGATATAACATGATTAAAATATAAGAAAACCACCAAGCAGCTGATTCCAGTAAGATAATGCTATGGAGAAAGAAGTAAAAGGCTGCCTTGTATACCAATCTGAAATAGACTCTAAAGCATGAAATCTTTAAAATAACTACTTGTATGGTGAAAATCTTTTATTAAGCTAGTATGATACTTCCCAATGGCAAAAATATTTAAACTATAATAGTCAACTATTAAAGGGGTAGATGTTACTGATAGGAACATAACTAATAATTACTCTGCCAATTAGTAGAGAAAACATCAGTTTGAAAACTATTCAGTTCTTCACATTATATAGCCACACAATAGCAGATATAATAAGTAAACTTAGTGACCAATGACACTTTTTCTTCACTTCACCTCTCCAGTGTATAGGTTTTTCTCATAGTGACTACAAAGCACATTCACACCAATAGTATGTTTGATATTGAGTAGCTTATTCTTGCTCCCTGTGAAGATGACCCTTACTCATTCAGACAGATTGCTAGATTTTATGCTTGGGCATAATGTGGCATATTACAGTTTACACCATTATAAGGTGAAGAACTCTGAACATAGTTTTGTTTTGAAAAATTAGAAATATATTTGTGTGTATAAACACAAAATCTAAATGTAATCTATTTCACACCTAAAAACATATGCAATTGTTGTTTTCATAATGAAAGCTCTTAGAGTTATAAAAGGTTTTCTATTGAAGATTATTTGTTGTAAACCTAAGTCAGACACATTGGTGCAAATATTTTGCATGTTTCAGTAACTGTATTAAAATCAAAAAAAGGAACATAAGACTTTAAGGATTTATATCATGTTTAGTAACAGCTTAACTTTTTAAGATTATTTACTCAGAATTAAATAGATGTGCCTATAGTATATTTGTGTTTATTATCACTTTAGTGTTAAAAGTTTGTATTTAGTAAGTTGTTTTCAATTATTAAGTATTTTTAGTTTGCAGAAATTTATAATTTGATACATTTATGTAGATTTCAAACTATATTAAATAAGGAACCCAGACTGAAACAGTACCCATATTTTTATTTTATTACTCACTATTATACTTTTCTGTACTTTAGTTTATAGATGAAATAAAAGTCCTATCTTGGAATTTAAGAATACAGTGAATATAACAGCTTAGATTTAAAGCCGCATGAATTTTCCATTATTTGAGCTGTTTGTCTGGGTGTGATTCTTGCATTATTATTTGTAGTTTTGTATAGATAGAAGGCTTAATTTGAATGATAATGTTTTAACTGACTTTCTTTATATTTCTACTTTAGTGAGCACAGCCGACATTGGTTCTTTAAAGGACAACTAGTTATCAATGGACATATGATAGAAAAGTCACTGATTGATACAGTGATGGAAACTCAGCTATCTAGCAATGATAATAATATCATCAAGTTTTCAGATAATAGCAGGTACGGTTTAAAGTTTCAACAAAAACTTATTTCCTTGTTTTTGTATTAAAAATTTTTCTATATCTACCTTTTATTCTCACCTCTCAATTTATTTGTTTTTTGTTACAGGGCTGTACTTTATTCTTGTTTTGCAGTTCTCTGTTCCTTTTTGAACTTACTCTTATTATGGCTAGGTTAAAGTGCATGTTACAATCAACATTTAATTAAGTCACTATTATCAATGTTTGTCAGTAAACTTGTCATTAAAACATAGTTTATAATTCAACTTTTAAAGTAGCTATATTTTAACTTCTTAATTTAAAAACAAACATTCAAACTATCAGTCTTCCTTTTGTTGTCACATGACACATCTGACCTCAGACTTTTCCCTTTCAGAATTTTGTAATACCAAGTATAGTATGCTGAAGTTTCTAACCAATTAGAAACACATATTATACATAATTACAATGTTTATAACCAATGGGAAGTGTAGAATATTTTGTATGGGAAGCTAGTTATCAGTTGCTCAGTTTTGACAGCTTTGTTATTCACTTGACCAAAGTCTTTAGCTGTATGATTGTTATATTGCTACTCAGAAAGGCAAACAGAATTTTTTAACCTATCTATAGCGTACATAGAAAGCTGTATAAATTATAGTAGTTTTGAGACATTTTGATCTAAAAAGGATATTTGAAAGCTACATGAATTCTTTTGTGGACACTGAAATTTGTGAGACTCAATAAGGCTTAGAGGAAAACATCTACTCGAGTGCAAGCTACCCCAAGCATGAGTGAGTATTATAAATCTTTTTTTTTCTTATATATATTTTTTATTGTTATATATTTCTTAAAAAAAGTAATTAAAATGTAAAAATTTTAAACTTTTCACCTTAGCATAATAAAACTTCAGTAAAATGTCTGAGGTTACATTAGTTTGACCCCATGTAACTGGACAGCTTAAAGTCAACTTTACAATCACTTGGTGTTTATTTTAGCTCTACGAGAAACAGCTAATGGGCTTCCACTCTGTTTTGTTGCTTTTAATTTGTCATTTATTACTTCAAGGGGTAAAACTACAAAGGAAAGCAATAAAAAAATTCAAATCAAATGTGCAAATGTTAGCAGTTGAAACTGTAACTTGGAGCTTTTATATATGATCAGTATGGAAATTAGTGCAGAGGAAAAAATTGACACTATTAATTATATTTCCTACTTTTGAACTTTTCATTTCACTGTACATTGTTGATTTAGCTACAATTAATGTTATGGTAGAGAAAATATGAAATAAAATATAAAACTTTCCCATGAAAACTTCTGATATTCATTTTGGAAGTTCTAGAGGTTATGCAAATGAAACTTGAAAACTGTAAGATAAAAAACAAGTTGTTTTATTTGTAGAATGAAAATAACCTTTCACACAGGCTGAGTAAAGGCTTTGCATAGTCATAGACAAATCTTAAATGAAGAAACTTTATTAAAGTATCTTTATTTTTGTTTACAAAAAACAATTAATGTTTACTGAAAGGTTGCAAAAGCTCATGAAGATATGTGTAGTAATTTCAGAGTTATATATATATATTCTTCACAGAAATGGGCTCAGTACAGTGAACTAACACCTCTTTTAAAGTTTTAATTACATTTTTCTCACTTTTTTGTGTATTGTCTCTTGTTTGTATATACTAATTCTTTTGTGTACACTATTTTTTATTTTTCTATATTTATTTAATGTTTTTTGTCTTCACTGTTCTTTCCTTTTTCATATTGTATTGTATTATTTTTCTTAGCTCAACTCTTATTTCCTAATTGTATGTAAACTCATCTGTACCCTGTTCATATACTTTCTTTTCTCCGTAATTATAAATTTATTAACATGCAAGTTAACTAATAATTCATAAGTATCATGTTAACTCTATCCTATCTTGTACAAGTGTAATAATTAATCTAAAACTTGACTGTCTTTTCATACTTTATTTGGGTGAAATTTTAATGAAAGGGATGTGTACAAAATCAATGAAAGGAAATGCTTTTACTTTCGAAAGGTGAACATTCCTTGTGAGGAATTTCCTCAAGGAAGATGCCACTAAGTGGTAAGAATATTATTTCTTTTCAAACAGTATTTTCAGTGTATGATTGTTGCTGTTAGCTGGAAATTTATATATATATATATATATATATATATATATCTTGTTATTTAGTTGACTATTTAAAAGTAGGGTAGTAGTTTAA